TTTTTCTGAAAAATTTGTCAGACCTAAATCTTAAAACCTCTGAAATTAGACAAGTTTCAGGTTTCCGACTTTAATATGAAAAGATTAAATAATGCAACGTTATTCACATTATACTGGGAAATTTTATATCATTATTCGATGATTAACATTGTTATAACTTAATAAATCCTCTAATGAGAATTTTGTAAAATCATTTGATCATATTAGAGCATGTTATTATTGTTTGACAACAATAACAAATCCGTGTATGTTCACCCTCAAAAATAAAGTCTCTCTTAAAAAAAAGGAAAAAAAAGAACATCCTGTGTCTGTGACAAAGCAGCTACCCTCTTCTCCTCCCTCTGACAGGAATGTGTCACTTCCTGTCAGACGATGATGTACGGCTTTTGCTTTTTTTTTTTTTTCTCCCTCGGCTTAGCTCAACATCAATCAGAGCTCCTGGCAAATGTGTGGAGAACATGTCAGACAGTGAGCGGAGAGAAACCTGTCGTGTCTTGTTCCAGCCTGAACTGCTGCAGACACTGATCCAGATACAGAAGGTGGAACTGGAACAGAAAACAAATATCCAGATACAGATCCAACAAAACAAAATCTAGATCGTGCCCGGCTAGATGTTGTTCAAAAGCTAAACCTGCCTTTTATTCTTACTTGTTGTTTACCTCATTGTTTCCCAAAGACTGGGTCACGACCCTCAGGTGGGTCGCAAGAGATTTTTTTTTCGGGTCGTCTCGCATCATGTTTCTCAGGAGTTTACGAATAACGTCTATTGATTTGGGGTCACGAAAGTTTGTGACTTTTAAAATATAAGGTGCCCAGAGAATAAGTTTAGGAAAGAATGGTTAACATCCTCATCGACTAATGAGTACCAAAACACCGATTAATCGGTACCACTCTAAGAAAGAGTGAGGTAGATAGGTAGAACGATAGCTAGGTAGGTAGGTAAGGTCGGTCGATCAGTCGGTTGATGGATGGATGTACTTCATTGACCTCCGGCTGTGAAATTAATTCAATTAAGAATATCAGTGATTGTATCCCAGTAGCATGCAAGAGATGCTTTCCTTCTGCTGCCTCTTGTGGTCAGTTTGTGTAACTGAGGTTAATAAAAACAAAATGACTGGCCCTCAACTTACGTCGGAGATCTGTTCTTGCAGTGACGTAACGCGGTTTTCGCTGTAAGTCAGAACTAACAAACTAAGTAGCTACGTGACGTGACTCACCTATGCTAACGTCATAATCTAGGACATAAAAACATCAGAAGACTCACTTACTGACTTACGCCTGGGAGCCATAATGAAGGGCAAGAAGTTCCCAAAGACAACAACACAAACGAAAGAACACGAACTAGCACAATCCAAGGTATGGCGTACCAAACTGCGGATGTAAACAAAGGCCGTCGTA